ATGTAACATTCTTGTTTTAGTGAAGATTTTATTTCGGCTGTGGATGTAGTCTCATGTGGAGGTGAACCAAGTATATTGGTGTGTGATTCTCATACACTCATTGCGTGTTTTTCATTTATTAGTGTCACACATGTTGTTTTATTATGATAGACATGTCATCACTTACAGTTTAGTATAAATGATTTTGTTGATTGATGATTTATTGTAATCATAATGATTGGATTTTATTTTTCTTTTCATTTGGTTTACAATTATGCATCTTTCATATGATCATATTCATGATATGATTAAAATGATAGAAATTTTAGATTTAGAACTAGACTCAAATCAAGATATATAATATTGGACATAAAAATAGTAGATTATTTTGAGAAGTGTTATTGTGTGAAGATCAAAGTCAATGATATATTTTAATTAATGTGGCCTAAGAATGAAAAATGAAGAAATATGACTCCATGAAAAATGAACTATGAATTACATGAAATGTATTCATAAAAGTTATGGAGGTTAAAGTTCACAAAACATGAATCAAAAAGATTGTTACAAATTAATCAAATCTTGATAAACTTTAATTAACTTGAAATCTACTAGTGAAATAAGTTAGTTGGTCACTATATAAAAAATAATTAAAATATCATAGTGAGAATGTTAAATTATCTAAATAATTATTTTTTGTTAATTTGGACGTAGCATCACTAGGAGAAATAACATAATTATTTGTGTGGAGTGATGATTTGCATTGGATTCGTAATGATTATCTTACAAATAGAGTCAAGAATTAATGTTGAAATGATGTATGCATTGAATTAAATATTTAAAACTAGCAATATTGTAAGCAAATTGCTAGATCTATAATTGTGATCAAAAAAGTTGTTGTACAAGTTGATACACATCACACCACGTCATTTCTGAAAACAGTAAATAATAATTTTTAAGAATTACTTCAATAAAAATATTTGTGTGAAATTTTGAGTTCATTTGAATCTATGTAAAAATATTTACATAATTTTTTATTGTATTAATTGATATTTTTTCATGAAAACTAACTTTCTTGATATTAGCATCAATCAAATTTTTGAAGTTAATTTTGTATGTTTTTCAAAAATTTAAATTTAAAATATATATTGAAGTCTATAAATAATTCCATAGTATTTTATCAGAAATATTTACATTCACAGAATTTTTTGAAGCTAAATTCAAAGTAGATCAAACCAATTATTAGTTTGATCTAGAGATGCAAAAAAAATTTTCATAATTCATTTTCATCTAATAAAACTTTAAGTTTCACTTATATATATATATATATATCATTTCAAATATTTGATGATTTCATCAAATTCAGATATAAATTCAATTCGAGTCATAATTCAATTTGAATTTGATAATTATGACTGAAACTCAATAAGAAATTATATATATTATATTATATTATATTATATTATAATATCTTATCTGAATTAAACCATACTTATATTTTTTGATACCAAAATATTAAATCCATCACACAAACATATATATGTCCACTTGGACCCTTTATATTGATGACACAAAAATCTATAGTGTTTGTTTAGAACTCCAATTTTTTTTTAAGCAACGTCTAAACCTAAAATTTGATAAAATGTCATTAAACAATATGTCAACTAATTGTGATATCTTAACAAACAGCTTGAGCATATAGTGTGTCTTCATATAAGACAACAGCTCTCTTGTGCATCTACTTTCGCATCATAGTCTTAAAACTGGAATTGATTGTTTGATTGTTTTTCTATTCTATAGATCTAGCTGAGGTTGAGGCTCACATGCATATGCAATTTTTTATCCGCTTTGTGAGATTTTTAAGCATCTATTTGTGCAACTAAGAATCACCAACACCATCATATACTCAATGATTATGATTGAATATATATATATATATATATATATATATATTCATGATTTATCAATACCTCTGAAGTATGATTGCATCCTGCTGAATTTTGCATATTAACTCGTTTGACATTGTTTATGCACCATCAATCACAGAAAGTCGTGTACAACAGGTGGAGCCCAAAGTTCAGCCTCATAATAAAAGGTAACACGATATAATGAAACAATTTACACCGTGCTGAGAACCACTTCACTTTTAATGCTGATATCTCCGCCCATCTTTCGGAAGTAAACTCGCAAGTTGTAGCAGTACACGGTTGTGGTGTAACAAACTGTACATATGATGACTTGGTCCTTTTTTGGCTTCATACGTTGGTCTTTTATGCAGGATAGTGACGGCCACATGTGATAATTGTTATATCTTCCAGAATGTAATCAACGCCATTCATCACTTTCAAACAAAATTTCAGCTCATCTAGTAATGACTGCTCCTTGAATGTCTTTTTGAACTTGGCATTGTGTTATCAAGTTCTTATTATCAAGTTGTGATGAATTGATTACAGTAAGATGGATTAAGCAGAGGTCTTTTGAAGTTTTCTCTCTCGCTTTCAAGCTCAAATTGTATGTACAAAGCCATTCCAAGCAAGAACTTCAGCTCACAACTAGGAAGAGCTTTCCACCTCAAGGCAAAACCCTGAATCGGGTCACAATTTATCTCACGAGAAATTTTTCGGATCATGGACGAAAGAGAATATCGAAATTTGCAATGCACACATTCCTATTTCAGCTTACAAAAAAAATCAAGCCCTCTCGGTATTACCTTTGAATGTCCGCCTTAGAAAGATGTAGAACGAGAGTACGCATTAGTTCTGAGTTGAGGGCCAAACTCATAAGGAATCTGCCACTCGAGAATGTCAGAGATGACAGACATCAAACCAAAATTTGAGTGCTTACAATTGGAAAGTAGTAGCTCTGTCCACCACTTTCTGGTGGACTCGTCGTTCAGGGGTTAAAGCCCAAAATGCAGATTTGGGTGTTGAAAGTTAACATCCAATCATTGCATGTTGTGGTGAAGTGGTTCATCAGAGACAAACTCTTTCAGGAAGTTGGACTTCGGTTCTGAAACAAATGCCATTGCAGAATAGCGTCAACAACTTTGGCCAGATTAATCATCGGAATTAAAGCAGGCCACATGATAATGGTGCCATGGGAAGGCTTGGTCGGTCGATAAATCCTCTTCCACGGACTCCGTGGCAGGAATAGTTTGCGAAGATGCAGAGTATCAACGGCTTCACGGTAGAATCACGTGCGACCTCGCGATAACATTGCGGTGACAACCTGGATCGAATGTGGAACCGTGGAGGATAGGTGGCGGTTTGCTGAAACAAACGCGGGGCATGGCTAACTTGCGTTGCTCTTGAGGCCAAGACGTTTGCAGCAAAGCTGAAACTGTGCTCTTCGGAAGATGATATCCCCAACAGCAGATAACGAGTTAGACTGGACCTCATACAAAGCCAGCATTCACAGGGAGACAGTTACTTAAGAGTGGACTATTTGCTCTACTGTCTACATATCATTGAGGCTCATGGATAGAGAATTTTGAACATGGAGTCCCGGAATTTTGGACTAACTCAACTGAATGGAAAGCAGGTTTTCTTTTCCTATTGCTCCATGTAATTGAGAGTTTCAATGTTGTTAGGACGTAAAGTTGAGAAAAAGTTGAGGGTGAAACGGGGCCGAGTTATAACCCATCAAGTAGTATCAAGAATTAAAATAAAGAGAAATTGAAAGCTAGAAAATTAAAGACCATGATGAGAAGTATATATCTGTAAACATCTACAGTATTTGAATGAATTACATCGTTTTGATTTTAAATATTAAAAGCATGTGAGGACACATAATTTACTGATTTCTACAAGATGTATGTAACTATACTCTAAATTAGCCTATAGAACGGGAGAAAAATATATATCGTTTAGTATGATATGCGGTAGATAAGGTAGAATAGACAATATAATGAATGCTAGGAAATGCCTTGAGATGCCCCTTTTAGAAAATTCTCGGTGGGCATCTGATACACTCGTGGGAGGTTTCTCGGTGGAACCATCGGGACTAAGTTCGAGGCGGTTTATGGGCAGTATGGAGAAAAGGCAGGGCCCTGTTTCAGAGACCAGATGAGACGAGACGTTGAATCCTCCCAACTTCCCAAGCTGGAGCACATGATAAGTTCGGCGGGGTACGAGAGGAAACAGTCACGATCACAATTGACTACAAGTCGTTGACCCGATGACAATGCTCTAAATTGAGCTTCGTATTATCTCAATCGATTCGAGAGGGAACATTTCGGGGCCCTATTTTGTCAATCGGTCTCTCCCCTCTGACCGGCGCTCCGTCACCTTTGTTGCATGCGAGCGGGCTTTTGCATTCCAATGACTGTACTCAGCGGACCTTACAAAGGACAAGAGAAGCGAGCCATAAATTTGTAAAGTGGAGGGGACTCCCCGAAACGAACAGAGAAGCCGGAGGGCGCAAGTCACAACCACGGGCAGAAACTGTGTAATTGCTGATTCCGTTGTTGGAGGAGGAGTCTTCTCGTCTGCCACTAAATCGATAAATATACAGTATCATGTACTGTCTTTTTTTGGATAATGTAAGACTTTTGTGTGCACGGAATGAACCACAAAACCTCTCTGTTACTGAGCTTGTAGAATTATGGTCCCAATTTGAGTCACAATGATAGTGCCAGCAATTTACATCTGCTCCAAATGTCAGGGCAGCAAGAGGACAAAGGCATATGACTGAGAGAGAATTTTGTGAGTTCGAGGAGAGGAGGTCATCCAGCACAACGATAACTGTTAATAGCGTCAGGAGTAGATGTACTTTTTGAATGTGTAGGTAGAGTAGGAGAGAAGGAAACGAGGGCGTGGTCGAGCGTGTACCGTCCGATCCATCGGACGCTGTTAGTGAGGCCGCGTCGCTTCCCGCCCAGGAGTCGGGATCGACGGCGCGGTGAGATGGAATCGGCGGTCTTCAAAGGAAGACGTGGCCCCCTCTCGTCTCCACATATTCATACAGTATTCTTTTCCTTTTCTTCGTAGGCGAGTAAATGTGATCGCCATTTCTCTCTGCTCCGGCTCGCATCCTTTTCGGTAGTCGTGCCGCGCCTGACGGGGTCCGAACTCTCGCGACGGACATCGGTCGCGAGAGTTCGGACCCTAACGGGCGTGGCCTCACCCCGTCAGTTCGACTCACCCATGTTTGACTTTTGACAGACGGTAAAGCCCATGACCGGCTGTTGCTTGCCCGCTCCTCCTCGGAAAGTTAGTCAGAGGGAAAAGTGAAAGCATGAAAAGATCTCGGCCGATCGACGCGCTTGCGAGCGCCACGCCTCCCTCTCGCTGATTGGCTCCCATGCTCGCATTGTTCCCCGGGGCATCAGGTGTCGCCGAGAATCCTCGTCATCGGATTTGGCCTCTATTTTCCTTCCTCACCTTTCGGTCCGGCTGTGCCATGTCGAATTTCGCTGCTCCTGTAAACTAGCGTGAGGAGCGAATCCGAGCGGATCCGAGCTTTGTGCAGGGTTCGCTGAATCTTATTATTTCCACTGGAGAGCCGTAGTGGTTGGTTGGCAGCTGGATCCTTGCCCAGGGCCGAAGAGTAAAGGGACGGACGTTTACCTCCTAGTCGACCACGGATCGGCACATTATGCCGACTCTCTTATGCTTCCTGAGCGTACAGGAGACATAAGTGCGCCAGCCACTGGGGACAGCGGCAAGTAGTAGAGCAGGCCGGGCAAGATTCGCCTTTTGTTCGAGGAGGAGGAGGAGGAGGAGGAAGGAAGGAAGGAAGGGAAGGGAAGGGAAGGGAAGCGAAGTTGTAGCTCTCAGCTTTCCGTGGAGCCGAGCACGGTCCAAAGGTCTTTTGGCCACCGATGACGGCAAAAGTGTGATCCTGTCTTTACCTAGAGGACTGTAGGGCCGCTACTCTCGGTTGGCTGGCCGCATTTTGCTTTCGTCGTCGTCATTGGAAGTGTCACTGTTTTGTGCTCACGTAGGCGGTTCATGTTCTCAATGCTCTGCCGTGGCTTCTTCTTCTTCCATCCCGTCCCCTCCTCGCCTATTCTGTCCAGCTGCGACCGGTTGTCCGCTAGGACGCTCAGCTCTGCTGCAGCTCGTCTTCTCATGACCATATGCCTCGGCCTGGAATTCGTATAGTAGGCTGACTTGTCTCTCTCTACGTCTCTTCTTGTACCTCTGGTGGATAGAATTTCTCCTCTCAAGGAGCTTAGCAGGTCCCATTGGCAGAATTCGCTACTGCCTCTGTGAGATTCTAATTCTTTCTCCGACGAGAGGCGAGTTCAATCAATCAATCTGCGCAATTCCGCCCATTACAGCTGATTATCAGTTTCTTGCCCTCGAGAGCCCTTCGTGAATTCATATCCTGAACAGGGTTTTACTTCACCTGTAAATTATTCTGTTATATTTCAGATGTTTTGACCTGTCCGCAAGTTCCCGAATCATTTCAACCCGACCACTGAAAGCGTCTGGTCCCGTGTCGGGTCCCGGGAGAAGGTGGGAAGACTGGGGCTTGTAGCTCCAAGGCTTGCTCTGGCCAAGCTCAGAAGCGACGAGAGCGGGCTGTGGATCTGAAGTCGGTGAAGAAGAAGTGAACGGGACTGGAGCTGACCAGCAGCGGTAAAGTGTGGTATTGACGAGAGTTCGAGGAGTCGCCAATCGAGGCAGTCGAAGGCTTTCTACAACGAGCATTGTTTGTGCCTGTCGAACACATTCATGAATGAAGTGGAGTCTCAAGAAGCGGAGATTCAGTGGGTCGACTCGGACGTAGACAATGATTCAGACGCTTCAGATAGCGATGGGACAGACGGAGAAGTTCCGGATGTGACGGACGACACCCCGCAGACTAATCTCACCAACAACCCACTACCACCAGGTCGGTCTCGAATTCCTCACCTGAATCCCCCTCGTATGTTTCAATCTGACTCTACCAGTGGTTATCTTGTCTTCACCGAAGTGCAATTGTGATTGCTACAAAGAATCCCAGAGCTCAGCAGCTGTAATCACAACTTCTCCAGAGGTTTTGGAGCCCTAAATCTGGTTGTACGATGGAATTGGACGTGCACCGAAGCCTGTCTCGGAGACCCGTTTCAAGGCTTTCGCCTTCTTACCGAGTCCTTAGTAGTTAAGGCTAGTCGCGATATGAATTAAAGCTTAGGAGGCTGGTCACTGGTGAACCTTTTAAGCCAAGTAGAGCTTGCAGGTTTGAGACGTCTCTGTCGGCCATTCTGACGCAAAGCCTTCGGTCGCTACCACGGCTTCCGCAGTGCTCCGTACCATGGAGCAGAAACTTTCGATCCGTATTGCAGCTGTAAACTTTGGAGGGTCGGTTTGTCCCAATTCCAATTATCTGCAACCTTGTACGTCGTCGCACCATTGACTTTTGCATGGTCATTAGCCTGACTCGCTGTCAACCTAGAGCTTGCAAATGAATAGCGGTGGCTCTCTCTTTTCTAGAACGGCCTCACTGCAAGATAACGGAGTACAGTCGTTTTTCTCAGTTCATCGCCTTCTGTCGGGTCTCGCGCAGGCGGGAATATACAGTAAAATGCTTACGACAGTGGTTCTTCTTGTTTCACCACAATCTAATGTGAACCTCGAGGCACGGTGTAACTTGATATTCCGGACCCTTTGAGTGCTTGAAACATGCTAAGCATTGGCTAGCACTGTATCCATGCACGAACTCCAATTGCGAACGACCCCATATTTCATCCAGTTAGTGCCCAACTCAACCGTCACAGCAGAGATCGAATCCTTCTGAGTTTTGCTCTTACTATCATCAGGGTGATTTCTAGAACCTCAGTTTGGTGTTTGGTTATGGGAATACGTCGGGGAGTTTTGCATTTCTAGAAGCCAAGAGTATCGAACGAAACCCTACATCGAGCAGAGGAGGGCAGTGTGTTGGTTGTTGACTGAACTGAAGGGTGTGTACAACTTGGACTATGGTGGTGCAGGAGCTGTTCGTCTGTATTCAAAACCTCTTAATTCTTGGAATCCGAAATCGCCAATCATTGCGACCTCAACTTCAAAAGAAAGCCCCTTCGCGGGCGGCTGGAAACCTGTCATTGACGGGAAAATCCAGGTCGGTGGAGAGGGTGCTGTCCACAAAGGTCGTAGCTCACCAATGCAAGTAGCGTCTGCTGGTGGTTCCTCTCAAAAGCAATCCAGTTCAGATGGAGCCTCTCCGTCTCCTGCCGCAACCGGAACATCTGAGCCGAAGAAAGACGGTGAGTTTCTTCGGTGGGCCGGCTCGTATAGAGTCAGATAGAAGTTCCCGCATCGGTTATTCGGATATATTCGTGTATCTAGTATCTTGCGGACTATCCCCAGTGCCGTGGCACTTCCAATTATCTCCATGTACATTTCACAGTGTTGTGAACGTATCGTACCCGACTCAGTGAGGTTCGACACCTCTACAGATAGCAGGTCCTCGCACTCTTCAGGAAGACACTGATTTATCGGCTGTTCCTGCAGGTAATGAAAGCGACTCCGATGTCAGACGAGTACCTGAACTGATGGGGAAAAGTGGAGTTTTGGGTGCAACTTCAGCTCAACCGCAAGGGCAGACTTCAGGAACCAGAACTAGAAAGAGGGGAGGAGCCTCAGCAGATAAAGAGCACAAGCGATTGAAAAGGTACCAATTGTTGTGGTGGAAACCTTGATAGCTTCTAGAGGGTGTTAATCATGAACCATGATGGGCGGAAGTTATTGTCCATGACGTTCGTGTTTAGTAGTTCTCTAAGTTGGCGATTTCACGAGGTTTATCGCCTGATTTAAGCAGGCAATGAGCTGTTGACGGTGTCCGAGGAGGCCGGGTGTGGAGCAAGTCCATTTACCGTCGCTTAACATGGCAAGTGTCTGATTGTTTCTTTGCGCACAAATGCAGGCTGTTAAGGAATAGAGTCTCTGCTCAACAAGCTAGAGAAAGAAAGAAAGCTTACCTCAGTGACCTGGAAGTGAGATCTAAGGAGCTACAACAGCGTAACGAAGAGTTGGAGGAGAAAGTATCTACTTTGCAAAGAGAAAACTACATGCTACGACAGGTTAGTCTTTGTCGCCGAAGGCGTCTTCCTCCATTTTGCTTTGAACCTGAATATACTACTTCTTACAGTTACTTTTTTAAGAGACTGACGTTGCCATGCCACATGTGGATACACAAATTTATTTCTTGTAGACCGTTCACCTTATTTGAATTATCCCGTCATTGTTAAACATCTATGCTGATCATGATCTTTTCTATGTTGGTGCAGATTGTGAAGAACACCGCCTTGAAGAAGACTGGAGGTGACGGTCCAACAGGCATGCAATAAAACGTAGTCATTTTTATTGAGTAGGCTTCGACAAGGTTTAGGTAGCTTCCTTCCTTGATTAGTATGTAGCACAAAATTCCAGTTAGACCCATTCTGTCACAACCGTTCTGTCAGAATTGAAGCTTAAGTCCTGGCACCAATGCGCTTGGGGTATTTTATGTCCATAGTTTCGCCTTCACTTGACTCGTAGATCTATGGCACAGGTCTAGTCATTTCGATTGCTCAGATTATCCCTAGCGAAGCCCTGCACTTACCGATCCGCAACTTCTTAGTTTACTTCTTCACTGTACGTTCATGCCAGCATGGGCTATTGTTCCTTCAATTAAGATCCGATGCTGTCCAAGCACGAGGTATTGACCGTGGGTCAGTGGAGCCAATTTGGTTCCAAATGGTAGCTCTTGAAGTGGTAGTTAGAGTTGTGAGTTAAAGTTTCAGTGTTAGATCAAATCAATATGTTCTCCTTGTCACTGATGTATTTGCTTACGAAGCAACAACTGCCTCAGTGAATGGAGCAAGAAACCTGGCGAATATCAGCACTGTTTCACCTGAAGGAGGTCTTACGTTCAAATGGTTATCGATGAACAGTGGAAGAGGTTTAGTACTCAGAAGAGCGTCACGAGAATCTTCCTTTGTAAATGTTCAGATGAAAAAAAATGTACGCCTTGCACAGACAATCGAAACCTGATATTCACAACAGAAATGGTTGGTGACTAAAATTGTATATACCAATTCATCTGAAGCAACTGTAACGTAGTTTCGGAAGAGAAGTTATGTAAGTTACAAATTATGAAAGATAAACGACACTTGAATCAAGTTCAATGCCTAATCGAAATAAAAGTTGCAGGTATACATCTCATTGTATACCTGCATACTCACAGAAAATTTGTTGCCCTCTCTAATCGTCTACCTGAAATTCTAAATTAAAAAATAATCGTTCAGTGATCTCTCTGAGAAAAATAGTGACCAATTACATGTGATCATAATGTATATATTTAAACTCAATAGAAATATTATGTTAAGTTATTCAACCTCGGAAAGTTCATACTGATGCGTAATACGTGCACAGAATGTTATCACTTTAGATTGTTCAAACTTAACTGCTGTACTATTTTCACGTCTGTAGGAGTATATCATATGGCGTAGTCTGATGTGTTCTGGTCATGCATCTGTTCATACTGAGTTGCACTTAATGAATTTACAATCCAGCTTTTGACATCATTTGCTTTCATAGTTTTTCTTCTCGGCTAGTCATTCTTGGTTTCTTATTGAATTTTTTTATTCCGTTTATGTGCAGAGTAATACCCGTGGATATCACCTAGAGATTACATTATGTACGGATAGTATTTTTAAGGATAAGATCCAGAGAAGGTATTTTGATGATTTAAATGTTTATTTGTAGTTGGTTTCATAAATTTGAAAAAGAGAATTATGTTTGTTCACATGCGCTGGTTTGCTTCCGGCTTTGCTATATGACACGTATGACAATATTTCGATTAATAAAAAAGCTATACAAAGATCAAATCATGTCTTGCAACATTACTCAAAACTCAAATAATCATTCTGCAAACTTTAAATGTTCCGAAAATTTATATGTGAACGCTACAACATTTCCTTCATACATCACGAATCGTATGCAAAACAATCCAATCCCCTTGTAAGTGAAACTTGAAATAAATAATTTTCTCATCAATAATTCATGGTCAAATGTCTTTGCAAAATCTAGCTAAAATGTGTACTTTTGAAAACTAATTGTTCTTCTTTGTTTTCATTATTATTTTCATCATATTTTCATTAAAAAATCATCATATTAAACAAGTATTTTTTTTAAATCATTCTATACATCATGAATCTTATGGAAAGATTTTGTTTCTCATTTTGGTGTTGTTTGATTGTGTGTCAATTTTCTAAATTTTAGAAAACTTTGAATATGTATTGTGTAGATAATAATGTCAAAATTTAAATTGTTTTAGTTGCAAACTTCATATTAAAGCCTTGAAGTTGAATATGTTAAATCTCATGTTTACTTTAATCTTTAGCTTTTAATAGAAGATGCAAGACAAGAATGTAAAACTAAACTTTACACAAAGTTAGAAGTTGTGTAATGTAAATTTTGTTGTATCACATCTTTGTTAAATGTTAAGTTGCCAAAAACAGTTTACATATAGATATTATTCTTTGAATATATATTGATATTGTTGTGATTATTTGTTTATAAATCTATTTAATACAGTTACAATATATTTTGACTAAGCTACGCAAATTGAATCTAGAAGTATTGTGCATATGTAGCCAATATGAACGTATTTTAGACAAATCATATCCTAATCATTTGATTCGACTGCAACATCAACATAAACCGAACCAAAAACTCATTAATGAGTTTTAACAATGTGATATCAAAGAGAAACGCAGTGAAATGGATGAATCTAGTAAAACAGCTCTAGCCCAAAAATATGTTGTTAGTGAAAGAGTTATTTGAAAAGGTGGTCTACAGTGTGATAAAGAGAAGATTTGTTGACACTATGTTGGTCGTTTCATCAAACTTGAAGACATGCTATGCATTTGAATCTACACATGGTTCGTGCCAATTTTTTTTGTTTGGTTATCTCTCACGATTTTCATTGCCAAATTTATTACATTGAGTTTATTGATTTTGACAATGATATCTTGGCAATGGTTAAATACATTTGGAGTACGTCAAGGGTTGCAAAAGATGTTGCTTTAGAAAGAGCACGATGAAGTCAACATATTCAATCTTGGATTGTTGGCAACCTTAGACAATCTTGATGTGATTATTGTATATTTATTTTAAGACATCTACAATGTGTACAAAAAGGTATTGTTTTTTCGCCTACTACCTATCTCGAGCTTTTTAATGCAATATAAGTATATATCAACCATTCTAGGAAAGAAAACAATAAAAAATGACATTATTCTATTGTATGTGTGAAATGTTGTGAAAAGTTATAATATTTCTTGTGTGTTGATGAAAAAATAGAAAACATGTGCATGTATCAAAAACCATCGATGGACTTTTTTATATTTTATTCAACTATAAACTTGAATGAACTATTTCAAATATGATAAAACAAATCTGACATTGAACTCTTATGTTGTTGAACAATGAGGTTTTTGAATGTAACAATGTTATGATAAAAGTTTTATTACTCAATTTTCACAAGTTGAAGACATAATTTGATATGACTATAATCTCAACTTTGAAGAAGAAATTGAGATCTATATCTCAAGTTTGTTCTTGAACGATAAATTAGACGAGGAATCAAAATTTGAAAATAAATGCAGGTACAAAAATTATGATGCAATGTTACTAGAGTAGCATACAAAAGTGCATCTTATCTTATCTGCTTGTGTTGCAAGTTATGTTTAAGTAGTTTGGCAATCAGTGTAATTAAGCTCATCATGGAATGCATTCATGAAAACAAAAATTAAGATATTAGAAGTCTATTAGAAAACAATGAATGAGATGAAGATCAAAATTGCACAAGGTATTGAGGCTTTAAATATATTTTTTTGACAAGACAAGCTTCAAGTATATTTTTTTTGAAAAGAAGGTTTTTTTAAAACAAGATTTTTCAAAAACTTGCTTGAAATGATTATTAATGACATGTTGAATCAAATGATCTACATCCTATTTTCTTAAAAAAATAATGCATAATTAATAGGAATGCGTACTTGAGTAGCATGTTACTATAATATCATTATATTAACCTATCAAAAGTTTTTGTATATTTTTTATAAACTTTAAAATAATTGAAATATGAATGTGTTAGATCACATCAAAATCTATAGTTGTCAAATTCTTATCAACATAATGAAAATGATCAATATTATGTGAATTTTATAAGCATATCAAATTTCTTCAAAATGTTAAATTAGCTAGGAACATTGTTTGAGATCAAAATTTTATTTTCTGTATAAATTTAAAATATAAGCAATTTTCACTTTAAAGTTATTTAAATGCTTTGGAAGTAATGATTTAAGACAATTGAATACAATTTGAAAAGAAGATATTCTTATGTGGATTTTTTGGCTGTTTGTATTTTCAATCAATTTTTTCATTTTTCTAAGCTTTGATTGTATAAAATCATATATTACATCTGTAAAGTATTGAATGTTCATGAAAATGTTTTTTACAAGTAGAATCTTCAACATTTGATAATCAATGGACATAGGATTTTTAAAAGAGAACAAAGGTCCAAGCTGATTTTTGTCCTACATACAACACTATTGACTATATTTTGTCCTTACGTGTTTTATGGGAGAAATCCAAGGTCAATGATAAAGCTTTCTTTTGTAACTTCATCGATTTGAAGAAAGCTTTTGATAATGTTCCTCGTAAGTATTTATGGGAAGACTACAAGACATTGGAGTACTAGCTAATATTCTTGGAGCTATGGCCACTTTATACAGTTTAGTTCGAGCTAAGATTGATGACTCTCGGCCTCAAGAGATCTCAAGCACCGTTGAAGTTATTCAAGGATGTTCTCTCTCTACTACTCTATTTGGAATTTTCATAGATGATATTGAAAGGTGGTTGGATGATTGTGAGAGTGAAGTAGTGGAGACTTTGTGATAAAAGCTCTTTTGTATGCAGATTATATCATATAACTAGCACGTGATGCCATTAGTTTACAGAAAACATATTGATACTTTGGTTTGCTTTTCTCTCAAAATGAGATGGATGTTAATCTTGAAAAATCAAAGGTCATTCTTGTGGGCACTATATCCAAGTTCTGTCTCTTTTATAAAGTACTAGAATTGAAACAAGTGAAGAGTTACAAATATTTAGTTATTGATTTTTCTTAGAATTATAGTTTGGCACTTTGTGTGCAAAAGAGAGTAGAAGCTTATTACAAAGCTCTATATTCATTGTTAAACCAATTTAGAAGAGCTCATCTAGTGTCTTGGAGTCTTAGGAAATTTTTATCTAGGAGCTTAGTGTTGCCGGTGGTTTTATATGGGACACAAGTGTGGGGCCCGGGCAGTAAGAAGACAAGTTGGAAGCGTGTGGAGAGGGTGCAAAAGATCTTTTTACAAGAAGAATTAGGTGTAAGGAACCAAACTCCTTATGCTATTCTTCTTGCGGAAACAAGTTGTCTACCTCTTGAGGCTGAAGCTCTCTACTTGACCATCCCTTATATCAAGAGGGTGAGATCTCTTGATGCTCGACTTCCTCTTCATGCTTTGTGTGCCACATGTTCAAAGGGATGGTTTGCAAATGTGATGTCTTGGTCTTTTGAGGTGGAATGTGATGGAACTAGATTGGGATCTGCAACCTATGGTACTACGCGAGCGTATTAAGTAAGAATTTCTCAACATCATTTGGAGTAGAGTAGGCACTAAAATGCAGTTTTATCAACTTCATGATTATCCTATGCTTATTTATTGTGAGCAAGGGTACCTTGTTGCAGAGATCTTAACATCTTTACGTCATATTATTGCCAGTTGTAGAACAGGATTTCATAGACTTGGAATTGAGGAAGGACATTGGTTGAATATTGATAGGAGTGAACGAATTTGCAGACTATGTGATGGGAGAAATGGTGAGTCTGAAGAGCATGTGTTCTTACTTGTACTAGATATATAAAGATGAGACTGTCTCATAAAACTGTTGTTGAGAATTTCTATTCTTTGCTTAACTTTGAGACTTATGATTTATGTTGTTACATTAGGGATGTTATTAGTTATCGTTCTAGTGCTCTTGGGGCTAACTAGGGGTTCTTTTGACTCTATCCTAGATTGGAGTTGGATTGTTTGTATTATGTTTTTCAGTCTTTTGAGACTTTGGGTCTCACGGGCTTGATCCATTACCATTATCAAAATTTTGATCTTTTCAATCAAAATACAATCTACATTCTGCTTTGATGCATAATAGTTTCATGAGAATAAACATTCATCATTTATGTATTTGAACATTTTTCACATAAAATACCTTGAGTATGAATTATTTTAGCAATAATTAATTTTCAAATATCTTTGTTATATCATGTACTGAGGAGATGTGACTTCAGTCGAGCTATTGTATTTGCAATATTGATTTTTTTTATTTAACATGTACATTGGTTTGAATCTTCATTCTTAAGTTTTGAGTGTAATCACAACTTTGATGTAAACTTATTGTACATTCAAAAGTCATAGTATAACACTCATGATGATATTTTAAATGTGGTATATGTTATTACGCAATAAGTTGAATAATTCATTTCAGTAAATGCAAATTAGAAGTATCAAGGATTTGGTTCGTAAGACCACGCTAGTATTGCAATAGTGGTATTTCTTTGGTATCAGACGACACAATCTAAAAAATACACATTTTCATTTTTTTCTATGATTTTTGAGTAAATTTAAAACAATCAAGCGTTTACTTTTAAACGATGACTCTTTGTTTGGAATTATATAGAGTTGTGTACATCAATTTTCAGATGTTTGTGAATAATATCATGGAAACTAGAAGATTAGAGGAAAGTAATACTAAAACCTTGAGATGATTAGAGAATATATTTCAATTAACAATTTTTCTTTAGTTTACTCTTAGCATTTGTGGTCGAAGAAAAAAATAGAAATTAGGTGGTATGATGCTAACTTAATTGTGAAATACTGTCCGCCGTTGCTTCATGAGACTAGCAGACTACTAAAGAATTCTTTACCCTCTCTTACGTCTTGTCATTACACCTGGAGTAATGAGACACGATTCATAAGAAACATAGTAAGATACATTACAGGGTGGCAGCTCGTCGCATTCACAAACGAACGTTTTTCACAAACAAAGGCGCGGATGCACTTGTGCACAAATTCGCGCTCCCATCGCGAATTTGTAATCCGGTAAGAGTTTCACTTTCACTGAAGCTCGACGAGCAGCGGACTGTCAGTGGAGAGAAAGGAAATGTGGGATCAGAGGTGAAGGTAGTCTTGAATCACTAGTGTCAAGTGACGGTGATAAGCGACAGGCAAATGGCCCGCTCTGTCACCAATATGCGATCAGCCATTAGGAGATTTTCCACAAGATATCAACGGCACTTGTTTCAACAGTCGCTGGCTGCGGAACGATCGTTTGTAGTAGCAGGAGATTGTATCCTAGTGCGAACACATGGAAGTGCTGAGTCCCAGAAGAAATTGGTCAATTGTACTGACACTCGGTCAAGTCCCCATACATCATCGAAGAATGATGTGCGGGGTTTCACCCGATGTTGCGATTTGCGTTCATCGGCTTGGATGCAGCCTTCTTGCACGAGCGAAAATCTGATCTTTCGTAGGGGCTTCACGTGGGGCTCAAAAAGTGAAGTGAAACCGCCAGAGGACCGCTTCAAAGAAACGTTGGGACTGCTGGACTCACAGTCGCACGGTAATCTTTAGGATTGATTTGTGATCAACTTTCCTTTGCCGGGAAACTATGATAGCTGAACCACGTGCATTGATATAAATTTGAAATTTCAAGAATAGAGCTGGGCAAATTTCGCATCAGTTATTGATCAAGTGGGATTTCCTTTTATCAGACGGCGTCCCGGTGATTGAAGCGAAAGAGGCAGCATCCGTCGGGAGTGAGTGGGCAGACAAAGCGTACACTAAGTTGATGGATGGCGTGAAGGTTGTGGAGGAGGCAACAACTGATACGCTCATGCCTGCCGCATCGAAGGTTCTTGAAACATATCCAATTATTTCCGAAATTGCCACACCAGTGGGTGTGTTCACTGGAGCTTGGATAATTTTGCCGAGAGTATTTCGAAGGCTGCATGGGTATGTGGAGCAGGGTTCTGCTGTCTTTTCTAAGGGTCTTTCACCGGTTCCTTTCGATCCAGTTCCTTACGAGCAGACAATCTGGCAAGCTATGGAGCTTCCTTCCCGCCTGTTCGCCACCATATTAACTATGCTTCAAGTGTGAGTAACATCATTCTAAGCACGACTCATATTGATAAGCTGCAAAGGCACTTGCTGTGAAGTTACTACTGTTTAGTACTATGGGTCTGAAGGACAATTCAAGGAAAGTTGCATTGAAAAATGTCTTGCAAATTCACATATTGGTGTTAAGAACTGACATCTAAGAAGGTGGGCTTGATTACAGTGGAAGACTTATTGCGCCAAATGCCATGGCTGCTGAGTATTTGAGTCAGTTTTGGGCCGGTGGAGGCGTTTTGTGTATAGTGTGGTTCCTGCACAATTGGAAAAGCAATGTCTTGAAACGCTTGTTGTCAAAGCAGACACTTTCTAGAGACGAAAGGGAATGGTATTTAACAGTAGACAAGATTTCTTCGCTAGCGCTAGTGTTTATTGGCGCCTTGGGCCTTGCTGAGGCTTATGGTTTGGCAATCAATTCGCTACTTACCGTTGGAGGTATCGGAGGTAGGCATAATATCGAAAGTTCTCAAATTTAACTGAAGATTATATGTTCTTGTCTTGCTTCTCAAGGAGCGATTGCTATTATGCCTAAATAGTTTAAAGGTTTCAACTCCCTCCTCTATTTCGGTGATATATATTGATATGTATTGGTACCCTGTGATTCCTTATGGACATGCAGGAGTTGCAACAGCCTTTGCCGCCAAAGATATACTGGGGAATGTGCTAACCGGTGTAACTATTTCTTTTTCCAAACCGTTTTCTGTGGGGGACCAAATAAAGGTCAGTACCTGTATGGTGTATTTCATTGAGGCCGTCTTTGAGTTGGCGTTCTGCTGTTACAATGCTGATGGCTGGGAATATTCATAAATAAATGAGTTTTACAACATATTTATATTTGCATTGTGTTCCTCTGTAATCAGTCCAGGTTTTTATCATGGTCTTGTTGTCGTGACAATAGCACATCTCCGCCAGGGCTCGGGGTCCATGGCCTTCAGGCGATGACAAACACGTAACTATGAGATAAATCTGTGCCAAAGTTACAGGATTTGAAATTTGAACTTGCCCTCGAACGATGCTTCACAGGTCGTGGCTTGTCTCGGAGGGCTACAGCACTGGTCTCCCTTTGATACATCTCGTCATTCGCATAAATAATCCTCTGTCAGTTTGTAGTCATGTCAATCCATCGCTGTTTCCACGACCGCTTGTTCATTGCTCAGGGTATGTGGTAAAGTACTGCAGAACGCGTATATAGTGAGTAGGAATACCATCTACTTTTAACAATCTGTGATAAGATGGAGGTGTTATACTTCTGAGGCTTCCAAGGATAGTATGCCGCCAACGTCTTCAAATCTTATTCGTTTGATTGGTGTTGCTTCTAAGTGTTGATCTTTTCCTTGTATAGATTCTATATGAAGTAAAGTTTGGAACCGTTCTGTTGAAAAATGTCTATTCTAGTGGCATTACAGGCCGGATACATAGAGGGTAAGGTGGAAGAGGTGGGATTGCATTCAACAAAATTGCTGAACACTGAGAAGAATCCAATCATCGTTCCGAACTCATTTTTCCAGAGTCAAGTAAGTTAAGTTGAGGATCTCATAACGTTTAGTAGAACCTCGAAGAGCAAGATAGGCAGAATTTTTAAGCGAGTTTTGAAGACTCTGAAGGTCGATGGTATCTCGGTAGTGCTTAATATAATAATGTCCATCTACGTTCTTTTGTCTGCTCACTAGGATTATACGACGATTTAGTGTGGAGCTTCTTTGACGTGGATGAAGATTGAACTATCGATGATAGGCCTAGGTTGGAATTTTGTTTCATGTAGGTTATTGTCAACAAGTCACGAGCACCGTGGAGAGCTGTTGCTACGAAGATACCCATTCATCTTAAAGACTACGAAAAAGTACCAGAAATCACCCAAGAGATTCGTGCCATGCTAAATCGTCATCCTCAAGTTCACTTGGGTGAAGATAAGCCTCGTTGTTCGGTCGCTCAGTTTACCCCGTCATCCATAGAGATTGCAATCACGTGCAATGTGAACCCCATGGTAGGACTCTGTTGAATTCCTCTCGAACGGCAGTTTGGTAAAATGTACATACTTTAGATAGTTGTTTCATGCCCTTGCATTTTCTTACATGGACTCGTCAATGGAGGTTCTAGTTACATTCAGATTGGTGCCACTGCTCTCTTAATAGATCTCACATACCCATGTTGGAAGAGGTCTTGATGTAAAGATTTCGAAGGCGTCTTCAGAGGGATTGTAAGATCGCATCAGTTTTCTCAATTGTTGTAACCAATGTAGGGTGCATTACAGTTTGCATATGTCTTCTGTGGTCAATCAAGATTTCTAGAGTACTTGCTCTGAAATGTTCTGTTTCTTTTATCTTGACAGAGCAAAGATGAGTTTCTTCTGGTAGAACAGGCTATCGTGCTGGAATCTGCTGCAATAATTTCGAAATTTGGAGCTGTCTTAGGAGGACAAGTGTGAAAGTCTTATGGAACTAGGACCCAACGTATGCGGAAGGGTGGAGCGATAAGGTGTCAGTTGAAATTCTGTCGACAGGATTTTAGGAGCTCATCTTCGAATGTTGAGCAATTCCGAAGGGGACTGGTCGCCCTCTATCAAGGCGAACTATCGGATTGGCAGCGAGTTATCTGAAAAAGCATATATCTTATTGATCCTACAACAGAAGTCCTGCAGAGTTTTGGCCGCTTCACTACTTTTTGTTCAAAAGTTATTCTGAAATTACGGCTCGTCTGTTTTCCAACTTTCATGAACAGACGTGGGAGCTCACATCAGGCCGGGAGTCATTCTTAGAGCTTACTTGATGAAAGCAATAAACAGAAAAAGTCATCTTGTATTCATTGGGTTGAGGGTGAAGCTAAAGGAGGCATTTTTCTCAGCCCGAGAAGATATCGAGGATCTTCAAGAAGAGATGTGACAATTGTACGGTGAAGGAGGAGATCAGGCATGAACCGATGTGGAAGTTTACCTTTTCGCTCTCGTGTTACCACAAACTGAAACTAGCTACTGATTTTCAAGTGCTTTGATTGACCCCAGCTAGTGCAGTTTATCACAAACGTTCACAGGATGTTCGATTCTCAGATCACCTAGTACTGGAGCTTTCAAGCACCAAATTCGAAGGTGTTCGGGGAATCGTCATCAACCTTAAAGCTCTACTTCTTTATAAACTGGTTCGTTAAGGGTTTGATGTATCATATTTCATTGTTGAAATATAAAACTCCGAATAAAAAAGGAAATTATCAATCTTTATACGGAGAAATTTCTATTCTTCTACAGACTCCCCATGCGAGTTATGGGTAGCTTATTTCTACTCTAAATTTCCTGCATCCCATGGGTAGTCATTAAGTCATTGACCAGAAAGCCGCAGGTAGGTAATACTGAAAACTATAGAAGCATAGAACGTCAAAGTGAGATAGTTCTGAGAAATATTTGTCTCTCGTGCAGTGCCAGCACTTCAATAGCTATGGTCAGAGCTTAAATCATTCACAAAAGATTCATTTCAGTTTGTGTGTTCAACGCATGTATAGAGCTAAAAGTCGAAAACACAACGAAATAGGGGCGAAAATAAAAGAAACCAAACTATGAGAGTACAAATTGATCAAAGCTTAAATCATTCACAAAAGATTTATTTCAGTTTGTGTGTTCAACGCATGAATAGAGCTAAAAGTCGAAAACACAACGAAATAGGGGCGAAAATAAAAGAAACCAAACTATGAGAGTACAAATTGATCAAAAGATAGGTTCATTCGTGTCATGTAGTTACGAGTGGGTTCACACAGTTTGGGCACTTACTATATTTAGACGTGAAAATAGGGTTCGCGTCATGAGGGGTCTACAGTCGGGGACAGTTCGAAGAACGTTAGTTCTTCGAGGCGAGCCTGAAAGCGTTAGGAGCATAGAGCGACTTTCCCCTTTGCGTCGACCTGGATTCTCCGAGTGTGGAATGGGTTGGGCTTGACTCATGTTTGTGACGGTGACGGTTTGTTACCAGTAGGGTAATTAACCAACGGGAATTCCAGTGGGGAATCTCCCGTTTATTTCACTCGAAGAATTGGTTTCTCGTCGGAGGTCGCACGAAGCCGACGAAGTTGATTAGTGTTTTTTTTCAAGGATTTTGTTCACTGGAACCTGTAGTTTGGTGACAGTTTTAAGGTTTGCATTCAGAGTGCGAGTTTGCGATTGAAGGCGTCGGCGTTGTTATTGTCGTCGGCGTCCGCAGTGTTTGCTTTGGTTTTAGTTTCATACTTTTTGGTCATCTCCAGGTTTGTGTGCGATGTGATCGTCGAGCCGCCAGACATCGGGAGCAGACAAGATTTGATCACAGGAGGGATCCGCCCGGTGGTGTTTTTGCAAGAAGGACTTACAAGCAATCTCCAAAAGCTGTTTTGGATTTATGGTGTCATCGGAAATTAGATGTCAAGACTGCGAGGTGATTCAAGTGAGGTGTCGACGCATGTGGCAAGCGCGGTGATGTAGAAGCTTTCGGTGGAGTCCGCAGCCAATGGGGCTCTTGCACAAGTGGGAAGGTATCTGCATCCTGTCGTGCGAGTCGTATGCGGGCAAATAAGTCGATCACATTTGTCGAGCGGAAATGACTTTTCCGAAAACTGTTCTCTCCTTCTGTTTGTTGTTTTCTCCCGGACGGACGTGCTCTAAGTGAGTGATGAGGGTGAAGATAGAGTAATTTATGTGTCCAAGCGGTGGATATTTGGAGCGGTCAGCTGTCACCTTCTCGAGAAACTATCAGAGTCGCAAATCAGAGTTGTTATGTGTCGTTAGGGGTTCGCGCGTACCAAATGAGGTTTTGGATCTTTTCTCTTTTGTACCTTAACAAGTCCCATCTGATGAGAGGTAACTATTGGAAGGGTTACAACGATTTCACTTGACGAGATTAATTGAAGAGATTTCGGGGCCCGGTAGATTTTACACATGAGGATTTGAGGAATCATGTCTGCGTTCGTGAACTTACGATTCACTGAAATTGGTTGAGATACGATTCAACATTATCGGAAGTGCAGTTTATGTTAAGACCATCCTTTCACGGTCTTCAACAACAGACCGGAGCTTGTCTGTAGAGTTTGTAGAGTACGATTGTGCATTATACATCCTACTCTTAAGCTGATTGGAGGAGTGGGAGGGGCTGCCTGGATCGCTGTACAACACCCGCAGCTGCGCTTAGATTAGAGTAGAGCGAGCGAGATCGCGAGCGGGGCCAGGAGGGTGTGGAAGCACGACTTAGTTTTCTGTGATTGATTCCAGAGAGGGTTGTGAGGAGATGGGATCACATCTACTCCGATGATGTGATTCTCTGGTATGGGGAGCTATCGCTCGCTCACGTAGAGCGTGTGCCAGTTGTCCAGAGTTGCGGCTGAGTCCTGACTTTCTCCCCTCTTATATGTCCTCGCTTTTCAGCCTCAAGCCGGCTCAATTTCCACGTTTCGGTTTGGAACTTACTAGGACTTGAGGAGCATCAGGCGTTTTTTTGTTTAATTTGGCAGCGTCTCCATTCAAGCCCGTGCTGCGTGATCTGGAAGCGGCTGCTGCCCCCATGCTAGTGACTGACAGATAGCTAGCCTAGGCCCGCTCCGATTTAACTTCACATCTGGTAGCATAAAGTATCGTGCAGATGACCTAAGCACAGGACCAGTCGCGGCGCAGTGCTCAGATCCCATGTAAATGTCACATGAACGGGATGGCAATGGGCATGGTCATGGCGGAATTGTAAATTCAGACCAGTGATTTGGAGCACGTAGTCAGGAAAGTATTTTGGAGGGTGACTTTTATAGTATGACTGTCATGCATTTAGGATGTACATAGTTCATTCGTTTCATTGTTTACGGCAACTTTCAATGATTCGAATGACAGTGTTCCCTAGGAAATTTATACCTTAGGTGGTACAGGTGTATATGTGGAGAACTACTAACTCTACACCTTCTAGTTTCAAAACAAAGAATGTGTGGGTAGATATCTATATATATATTGGATATTTACTTTGTACTCGGAAATACAGTATATTGGATATATTGTATACTGATCTCAATTATTAAACTGTCGAGTTGGTGTGACTTAGTTTGGAATAGTGGAATAGTCCAATAGCAGCAACCTCAGGTTTGGAGATCTGTTAGGCGAAGGTGACCTATGCAGGTCTTTTGATTACATTCAGTTTTGATAAATACAGTAGTGCTCAGTTTGCAGTAGAAAGTTTCAAATTCACGTTAACTAGTGAATTTGTATGTAGTTCTTTAGAACTATTAAAATCTTTTAATAGTTTTTATAGTTCAACTGTTTGTAGTTTTCCCTACAGATTTAGTTTACAAAAATCTGTGAATTTGCTGAGTTTGCAGTAGAAAGTGTCAAATTCACGTTAACTAGTGAATTTGTATATAGTTCTTTAAAACTATTAAAATCTTTTAATAGTTTTTATAGTTCAACTGTTTGTAGTTTTCCCTACAGATTTAGTTTACAAATATTTGTGAACAATCCTTGTACACAATGAAGTGTTGACGTGTGAAGGGAAAATGCCAATTGGAGAAAAAGCGGACGACAATGATATACCAGAAATCCAGACAGTGGAGGTCGTGAGCAGCGAGGAACGTGATCAGGAGCAGGAGGTGACGGTACAGCCTCAAGTAGAAGAGAATCTGGTAAACATTGTTGTGATAGAAGAAAAAGATTTCGGGTTAGATTGGGACGAAGCACTAGCCGTGGAAAAACTTCTAGAGGAATCCGGCCTAGAGTACAGGATATATGATGATGAGTTACTCGACCTTCCGAAGGATATTGCTGATCATTTGATAGATGTTCAGTATATTCAAGACTGTCTTTCAGAAGAAATTCTTGTACTAGAGAAATTTCTTGACAGTCTTAAAAACGGATTGATAGCGAATAACTATAGCCTGTAGAAAGGAGGTACTGAAGGAATCGGGAGTTTGCACCCGGTCTCACTGCCTGTAAACTTGATGTGTTGAAAGCATTGTAAATATATATATGACGTAGTCAATATATTGAGCTTTTAGGGTGTAGTGTGTTTGTTGAGGTGGAGTGTGACCCCTGTGTGAAGGAGAAAAAAAAAGAGAAGAAAAAAAAAAGAAAAAAGAAGTTTTCAAACAATTGTCGTTTGCAATTTGATGGAAAATGGCATCGTAGGCGCTGGAGTCCCACGTTGATGGCGGGCGATGGAGATCGAATCGGGATCGCGAAGCGATGCGATGTCTCGTGTGTGTTGTCTTGTTTTGTGTTGTGTTTCCTTTAGACTGGAGAATTGTTGCTAGTTGTTTGCTTGTGTTTGGATCCTCTCCAGTCTTGTTTCTTGGTGCGCGCCCGTGTAGGGGTGACGCTGATTTCCGGAGTAGTTTTACTCCTGTGTGCTGTCGATAGGGGGCTGGACTTGATCAACGGCCGGCCTATCTATGTTTCTCTCACGGTGAGACTGGAGTGATGACCAGTAGACCGTGAAAGTCTTCTTGCTGTGATGACAGGTTAGGTTGCCCATACCCCTTAGCTAGTAGGGCTACAGTAGCTAAGTGCGGCACGACGTGAGGGGCGGATAGGGTTATTGGATGGAGATCTGGCAGTGGTGCCAGTTGAGGTCTCGTCATCACGGAGCAGTCTAGTGGTCCTATTGAGGACCGCGGTGGATTAATGCGGAGTGGGTTGAGGTATCGGCTACCTTCATCTATCGCGCCAGTTGTTGCGGAGGAGGACCAGAGTGTTGCAGACACAGAGTCTTCGGTGGTGATATCGTCCGGTGTTCCAACCCCATTGATTTGAGACATGGACGGGATGTACGGGGCTGTGAAGGACCCTCGACGTTACTCTGGTGCAGTGGGCACCATCGAGCTTGATGATTTTATTCCTGAGTTTGACACGTAGTGTGATATGCAGTTTCTGCGTAACCCCACGTTGTTTACACCCTTCCTTTGCATGGAAGGGGTTATTTCAGTATTTGGAGGGGCCTTCCATGGACGATTATCATGAGTTTGACAGAGATTATGCTGCAGAGATTGATGCATGGAGGCGCCATTGGTCTCCGAACTACTTATCCATTACCCAGGGTGGTGTGGGTACCAGTGGAGGTGCGAGTATTGGCATCAGTGGAGGCGTGAGTACTAGCATCAGCGAGGGTAATAGTGAAGCAGTTGGCGCAACTGGTACAAGTACCAGCAGCGGTACTGTGAGCGTTGCTGGTGGCAACACGAGGGGAGATGCTAGTGGCGTACCTTCGTTTAGCCCCATTCTTGAGTTCTTCCAGAGATTGAGGAAGAATTATCAA